GCGCTACCAGCGCCGCACTCTCCAGAGTGAGCCGCGCAGCCGGCCCTCCCTCCCGTTTTATGTCTCCCCAGCTGGAAAACATCGTGAGGTTATGAAAACATGCTGCCAATCTTAAATTCAAGAAAACAGACTTTGGCCCAGCTCAGAACATGGAGGGAGAAGTGTCCTTGGAGAACGTGTGTGGGACAGAGCTGTGGTGCATAACCAGGTAGAGAGGGCAGGGCCAGGGCCCACTGTGGGCTCTGTGCTCACCCTTCCCGAGCTTCCTCGGGTCGCCACCCTCTGGGCAGGAAGCCTCAACAACACACTGCTAGTTTTTCTTTCTTTTTCAATGTTTAAAATTTTTTTTAAAAAAGTTGTTTTAGGTGGCTGTCCATACTTTTGCACTATATAAATAATGTATGCTCTTTAAAAAACATGAAGAAAAAATATGGGTAAGCAAAAAAGAATGTATAAATCATCCACAGTCCCATCATCCAGATGTGCATTTATACTTCCAGACGCTTTTCTGCGTTTGCATGCGAGAAGGTAAACAACGGCATCATTTATATTATTTGTAACTTGTTCATTTCACTCTGCAGTTCATCATGGCCATCGTTCCATGTCACTAAATGTACTTCTGCAGCAGCTTTTTAAATGGTATCACAATTACATAACAATGACAATTATTTGTATAGTGCTCTGTAGCTTACAAAGCACTTGGCATCCATTATCTTATTTCAGCCCTTGGCCTTCCTGCAGGGAGGTCTCTCCCTTAGGAAATCCTGCTTCAGAAGAGGCTGCTCCGTCTCCTTCACACCTGAGCCTCCCGCCGCTGGAAGGCTTTCCACAGCTCACCTTCATCCTTCCTGCTTTGGCAGCAGCTGATCGCCCCTTAGACTGCCATGTGGAGAGATGGCTGCTCTCTGGGTCCCTTCTCCTATTGCCACAGCTTGTCTGACCCAGCTGCCAGCCTCTGGCCTTTTTGTCCCATTTTCTTGAGAATCCTTCTTCACGGTCTCAGAATGTCTTCCTGCTGCCGCCCTAGTCCTCTCTACTCCATCCATCCTTCCCCTCTTTGTCAGACACAGCCTGACACAACCTGAGGGGTGGGGACCTGAGTGGGTCCCCTGTGCCCTCAGAATGTGACCCTCTTCACTTCTGGAGGTGACCCAGCAGAAAGTCTCCCTGTTACTCTCAGTGGGGAGGGCTGGAGACCAGCCCCACAGAGATCAAGGGGGCAGGGGTGGTAAGAAGACCTGGAGTGGCCCCAAAGCTGTGTGTGCAGAGGTTTCTGAAGTCCCGTCTCCTGACCTCTCTGCGTCTCTCTCTTCTGCAGCCCTTTGGCGTCCCATCCTTTCCTGTCCTTACTCCATCTGACATCTGGAGAACGGCGTCGGTGTTTGAGAGCTTCCCCCCACTCTGGCGGAGAGGCAGAAAGGAGTGTCATGTGCCCCTGATTTAGCCCCCGCTTTTGGTCCCAGGACTTCAGTCCCATCTTTATCCTGTGAGTGCCTCCTTTCTGCCCCTCTCTTCTCCCTCCTCTTCTGCCCAGAACTCCTGGCCTGCCAAGTCGGGGAGGCCAAACTGTTCAGATGTCCTGTCTTCCTAGGACCAAATGAGGGGCATATCTAAGTTAGGGCTGGAATATCTACTCAGTCAGCTAAGCTTCTGGTCAGTGGGCTGGATCTCCTGGCTTTGGGGAAGGGCAAATATCTCAGTGTTAGGGAAATCCAGATATCCATCCCACTTTTCACTACATCCATGGCCTTTCAAACCTCCTTTCAATAACAAGAACACCAAAACTTAGCCATGTGGCCCCTTTGAAGAGCCTTGCTTTGGTCAGGAATCAGCTGCAGCTGAGGACTTGATCTCAGCTCCTGTGTTCCTGGGGCTCACCTAGTGCCCTCTGCTCTGACTATGTGCCCAGGGATCACCAAGTGCCCTCCGCTCTATGTATCTAGGGCTCACCAAGTACCAACTGCTCTGACTGCACGCCAGGGCTCACCAAGTACCCTCCGCTCTGACTGCACGCCAGGGCTCACCAAGTACCCTCCGCTCTGACTGCATGCCAGGTCTCACAAAGTACCCTCTGCTCCATGTGCTCAGGGCTCACTGAGTACCCTTCGTGTCACTGAGGGCCCAGGCCTTACCAAGTACCCTCTGCTCTACATGCCTAGGGCTCACCGAGTACCCTCTGCTCTGACTGTGGGCCCCAGGGCTTACTGCTCTGAATTCATCCCCATCCCACTTACCTGGATTCCTGATCTGGCACACATCCAATTCTCTTCAGCAGTGGGTTGTGCCACCCTAGAGGCTAGTCACTAGTAACCCCATTGGATGGGCGACCCAGAAGAGCTCAATTTCATGGCAGATGACCAAGAGATGACCCAGGTATTCAGGCCCTCTGACTCCTGGGCAAAGATAAGGGTGGTCAAGGGGTGCCACCACACTGCCTGTCAGCCTCACAGGGATGGGAAGAAACCAACCCCCCCTCCTACCCCTAGGGGCAGGCAGTGCTGGCCTCAAGGGTTACGCATTGGAACCTCTGGCTGGAAGGAGGAACTTTGCTGTGGGTTGGTGGTCATGCACTAACATCCCCCTTGTCCTTTAGCCCCCAACAGGAAGTTGGAGAAGAAGGCAAACAACTCATGGACCAGGGGAGGAGCTTCCACAGAGTGTTGGCACTAGGCCAAGGGGAAGGTCTATCCACAGTTTCTACTCCAGGATTACTCCTTGGTTGGGCATCTAAGACCTGGTGCCCTGCCATTCAAGGTTCCCAGGATTTGGAGGGAGCTTGGTGTTGTGGAGCAGGATGCCAAGAGCAGGGATGGGATGCTGATCTCTCATGTCCTTGTACCCCACTCTTCCTCCCACATGGTGACAGCCAGGAACCACCTTGGCTGCAGCACTCTGTAACCAGTGGCACAGCTCACCTGACCTCAGACCACTTCTACCAACCTGTCCTCCCTACCCTCACAAAGACACATCAGTTGTTCCTGAGCTCAGAGGCGGTGGGACATGAGACCCATAGCCACCAACACCCATTGCCCAGGTGGAGGACCTGTCACAGGTCCTCCTGTGGGGAGGGGATGGACAGTAAACACGCCATTTTTTATGCTCATCTGTTTCCAGTCCATCCACCACCTCCATACCTCACCCTCCGCCAGCTGCAGATTTTCTGCAGTTCTGTCTAAACCTGGGTGGGGGGGGGACCAAGAAAGGTGTTTCTGGATTGTGCCTTTTAGTCCCTGCATTTGCTCTCTGCCTCTGTGGCAGGTGTCCATCCCTGCCTCCTGCCTCCTCTGGCCAACCTGTTGTCTGTCTTCAGCTGTCTCTGAGAGAGGAGACACATCCTTCCCTCCACAAAGCTTCCCAGTACAGTTGAGAAGTCCCTTCTGAAGCCCAACCTCCATCTCTCTTGCTACATTTTTTTTTTTTTTTGTCTTTTTCTGTGTCCGGCAACGAATCGCAACCCTCAGTGTCACCCCCGTACCGGGCTGGGACCGCAACCCTCGGCGTTGCCCCCGCGCCTCGCTCAGCCAGTGAGCGGGAACCGGTCTGTATGTGGGATACGAACCCTCGGTGGGAGCACCGCCACGCTCACAAGCGGCGCACTAGCGCAGTGCACCACCGGGCCGGCCCTCTCTTGCTACCTTCTTAAACCCACTTCTTTTCTAGGACATGGATGGCAGTGGAGTTTGTCTTTTAGCACCTCCTATTCCAAAGCGTTCTTCTGGGCCAGCCACCACTGGCTCATCTTTTGAGATGGAGCCCAGGCAGCATATTTCTGAAGCCTTCTTTTCTTCAACTCCCAATCACTTAAGCTCTTCCACATCCAGATGAATGGCACTTCCTGAGCATGCAGTGCCCAGCACTGTGAAGGTTCGGGGGCATGGGTGGTGGGGAGAGGGTTGGCCCCGTTTTTGCCCTCCTGGCAAGTGCAAGTGCAGCTGTGCCTGTGTGAGTGTGTGAGTGTGTGGGTCTCAGATCCAGGGCTTGTGTGGAGTTTCTCCTTCCTTCCACTCTCCCAGAGACAGAAGGGTCTTAGCTGCAGTTCTGCTGGAAACCATTAGGGGTCACTGTTGCTTCAGTCACCAATGCCCGACAGGTGCCGTGGAGACGTGCGGCTCCACACAGGTGGTCCTTGCCGCCCACCCTTGCCGTGTTAGGTCAACAGGGTAGTTGCTGTCTTAGAGGCAGCCTTGCACAGACTCATGCCCGCTCCGCTCAGTCCCTGCCCAGGCGTTTGTGGCTGGACTGAGAAGGCTAGTGTGATGAGAGGTGCATGTCTCACCAGACCTGGTGCATGTGGCAGTGTGTGGCAGCATGGGAGGACTTGGATGCGGGAAACTACAAGGCCCTGAGACATGATCAGCCCCTCCCCTGCTACTCCCTTCACCAAGGCTTGAAGTCATTCTTCTGCAACACTTCCTCTTCAGATGCCCTCATGGCACTGGCATGAAAGCCTGGAAACTGACTCCCCTGTGCAACTTCAACATGCCTCAAAGACATCTCTGTTCATGGGATGGAAGCTGAGATTTTGGCCTCCCAGAACAACCATAGGGAGCCAGACACACTGACCCTGCTCTGGTGGGGGTCATCTCGCATGTTCTGGTGATGTCATTGGGGCTCCTCCCCCACCCCATGGTCTGCCCCCTTAAAGTCTGCCCTGCCATACTCCAGGCAATGCCTGCTCAGTGGACAGACGTGGCAAGGGGTGAGATGAAGATGAGGCATGGGGGACTGGTTGGTTCTGCCGGGAGGCCAGATACAAAGATTCCCTGCTGGGCTCAACCACTTCTGGCCCCGAGCGGGAGATAATAGCAAGACTGTCCTGCTTCACTGCCATGGCAACCCTGGCTGCTCTGGTCCTCACTGAGGTGGTGTTTGACAGCAGTGTATTTATCTGTATCATTGCCTTAGGGTCACCACCTCAAGTCCCGCAGGAGGGAGGGAGGAAGTTCACCCAGTGTTAACACCATACGGATGGAAAGATAATGGGCTGCCCGGGACCAGGGTACAAACAGATCTCAGCATTTATTGTGCCTTCTTCAGTCTTCCCACGAGAGGTGGGTGGGGGCAGGGGTCAGTGAGGGGAAGGAGGAAAACAAGGCTCCAAAGCCTTAATAATCCCAGACTAATATCTGAGGGGAAGAGAATGGGAAAAGGGTGGACATGCACCAAGGGATGTCCCTGGAGAAAAGGGGACCAAGCTTGGGGTCCCTGGGTGGGGCAAGAGGAGAGGAATAGGTGAGGGCAGGTCTAACAGGGCCAGGCTGGAACCCTCTTGTCCAGGCCCCTGGGTTTTCCCCACACCACCAGGTGTGTGGTGTGGGGGTGGGGAGGTGAAACACAGTGGTGAGGACAGTCATATGGACACCCCATCCTCTGCATCCAACATGGACGCAGAGGGTTCCAGGCCTGGTTCTGATTGCCCATCTGGTTTCAAGCACAGTGATGGCCCCAGATGACCACAGGAGACACACGCTGAGGGCAGGGTTCTCCAGATGCTGTCTCCAGGGTGGGCAGGCTGTCTCTTAGTCTGAGTAGGGTCTCTCACTCTCTGAGGGCAGGACAGCTGACCACGGTGTGCTCTGCACTCCTCCAGCTGCTACCCTGCTTGCTTCCTCATGGGGAACTCAGACTGCTGAGAAAGTCTTCCTGCACTGAGTCTGCTCTGACCACCCTCTCCCTGCAATCTTTCCTGCTCCTGTCTCTGCCCCACCTTTGGCCACCCCTGTCCTGTCTGAGTGGGGGTGGGGGACGGGAGTGAACATCTGGACATCTCAGGGCCCCAAAGTTGGGTCACTTCCTCTGTGCCCATGGAGACCAGTCAGCCAGGGAATGGGGTGCCTCTCAATGCCCTGGACCCCCATTTTGGGGGCTGCAGCTTGAGGAAGCTTCTCTTGGGGTTGGTGGGGAATCAGGCTCCACATCGGTTGGCAGCAGGGAGCCCCGACCCCCCCGGCACTCTGGGCTGTAATAGAAGGAAAGGAGGCGGAAGGAGGGTCGCAGCTCCTCCTGTATGCTGTCCAGGATGTGGGTGAAGGTTGGGCGCAGGCGTGGGTTCTGCTGCCAGCAGCGGTTCATCAGCTCCTGCCTGGTGGGTGTGGGGAGCAGTGTCAGAGGGGTCCTGGAGCCCCAGCCACACCCCCAGCCTCCTGCACTGGAAGAGTCAGGATCATGGGGCATTATGTCTGGGAGGGTCAGAGGGGGAAGGTCGTGGAGTGCAGTGAGAGTTTAGAATTGGGGGGCTCATATAGCTGGGGATAAGTGGATGTAAAAGCATCGGAGGAGGTGGTCCAGAATCATGAAGGGGGGGTGTAGGCAGAGCAGGGACAAGGAAAATTATCCTGCAGGTAGGGTAACTTACAGCTGATGGGGACAACCCTCCAGCTCCTCCAGGACCCCACCGTCCATGACAAACTTGAGCACCTGCTCATTGGACAGGCCCTGGTAGGGTTGTTCAGCCAGGGTCCCAATCTCCCAGAGCACCACACCGAAGGACCTGGAGGACACGCAGGAGGTCCTGAGCCCAGCACCCTTCACACTGCTCAGCACACCCTAAGGGAAGGGGGTCCCAGGCCCCTCCCAAGATCCTGCCTCCATATCCCTGGAGCCCTCTGCCCAAGCCAGGCCCCACCAGACATCCGAGTGGGTGGTGAAGATTCCATCTTTGAGGGACTCGGGGGCCATCCAGCGCACAGGCAGCAGCCCCTTCCCACCCTTGCGGTAATAATCTGTCTCATACACGTCCCGAGTCATCCCGAAGTCTGGAAAGTGAGGGTGGAGGAGTTGTGGGGCAGAAGAGCCACACAGTAGCTCCTGCCCCAGTAACACTTCTCCCCAACCCTCTCTACCTCCATAGTTTCCAAGAATCCTGGAATGTGAGGACTCAATGGACCTCAGAGATCATCCCATCCAAACCCTTCTGCTCTTGAATAAGGAGACTGAGATCTGGGATGGGGGTGATTTTCCAAAGTTTTCACAGGCTATCAGGGATGCTGCTCTCTGCCACGCCTCCACCCGCTTCTCTTCCTCTTCTGAAGGGCTCTGGTCCCAAGCTGTGGGCCAGGCCTGGGTTTCCTGATGCCTAGTTTAGGGAAGCCTCTCTTCTCTGCAGGCTGCCCTTATCTTCCTGATGCCCCCTGTACCCCCGATCTTGACGGTGAAGTCCTGGGACACCATGCAGTTGCGGGCCGCCAGGTCTCGATGCACAAACTTGTTGGCAGCAAGGTAGGCCATGCCATCTGCAATCTCACCAGCCATTTGGATCATATCCCCCAGTGCTGGCCGTGGGAGCCCAGGGTTGTTCTAGAGCCAAGATTGGGGGTTGTTGAAGAATAGCCTGGCTGCTCTCCTACCCAGGACTGTCTCCCTCCCCCTACAATGTGTCCAAATCTTCTCTAACTCACTAGCCCCTTAGCCCAGGATCTTTCTGGTCCCCACCTCTGCCTCAGGCCGCAAAGATCGAAGATGGCTCTTGAGGTCCCCACGGGTCATTAACTCCATGATGACCAGAGTTGGCTGGCCCTGAGACACAACACCCAGGAGACGCACCTGGGATGAACAAAGAGCCTGATTGCTGGTCCACCCAGCTCCCCTTGACCCACCTGGCCCAAAGCCTGACCTGCTATGACCACAACCTGACCCAGATACAATACTGACCCTTACCCCAACCATGACTGTAACCCTAATCCTGACCTAACAATGACCCTGACCCTAGCCCATGACCTTGATCATGTCTATTATCACAATTATGAACTTGGTCCACCTTTGACCTTGATCTCAATCATGACCCTAATAATGATCTGGACACTCAATTTGGTGGGGGAAGGGGACTGGCTGGCCGGTATGGGGATCTGAACCCTTGACCTTGGTGTTATCAGCACCACACTCTACCGAGTGAGCTAACTGGCCAGCCCTGGACACTCAATATTTGACCCCAACCAAGACTGATCTCTCAGCCCCAGCCATGACTTTACTATGGTTCTGTCATAACCCTGTTTGACTCTAACCCTAATCATGATCCTTACCCTAGTCAGGATCCTAACCGCAGTCCCAACCCTGACCTTGATGGTACCCTGACCTCAGCTCTGAGACTTTCCTTCTTACCATATGACATTTTCCCTAATTATGACCCTGACAATGCCCCTGACCCTCTCTTACCACATGGTGACACTTGAATGCCTTCATTACAGAGGCTTCCTTGAGGAACTCAATGCGTTCCCGGGGGCTGGCCAGCTCATTCACTGTCTTCAGGGCCACTGGCGTGGACTCCTCTTCAGCCTCAAGTCCTCGTGCCAGCCCCTCGTATACCATCCCAAAAGAGCCCTGGCCCAGTTCCCGGATTATGGAGATCTGCTGCCTGGGCACCTCCCACTCGTCAGGGATGTACACTGAGAGGAGGCAGGGGTCACGGGGCAAAGATGCTGCTCTCTGCCACGCTCCACCCGCTTCTCCCCTCCTCTTCTGAAGGGCTCTGGTCCCAAGGCCGCCTTCTCCAAAAAGGTCTCCTTGAAGTCTGCCTCTCCTCCTCTCCTGTCTCCCTGTCCACACCACCTGTCTGCCCACCCCCAGACCTACCATCAGAGGCGCTGAAGTACTCTGGATTCACAGAGGCATACAGAGTGCTGTTTCTGCAATGGGAGGCGAGGGGGTCAGGCTGGAAGGGTCCTCAGGAAGGAATGAACAAAGTCAGAGGACAAGGAAGGGGGATATTTTAAGAGGGAAGGAAGTTAGTGATCACACCCCTAGCATTGGTCAGGGTGACTCTTGGGGATCCCTAAGCACTTTCCAAGCTGGTCTTGGTCCTAGTCTTGGGATCTGAAAGCTGGAAATAGGGAGGACACAGGAGTAGAGGAGCTCCTGCTCCCTCAGCTAGTCCCTAGAGCCCAGCTAATCAAGGTCCTATCCACATTTCCTTCTTGTGGTTAGCCCCAGAGGGATCTGACACAAAACATTCTCAGACACATCCTGAGGTCTCCTGCCTGTCCCCCTGATTGATGGGACCAGCTTCATTATTTCTTGGCTTGGGCTGAGAGTGTGGTGACCAATAGGCCTGGTGCACCCAGACTGAGGGGTTTCCTAGGATGTGTGACTTTCACTGCTAAAACCCAGATAGTCCCAGGCTAACTGGGATGAGCTGGTTACCCCAACTGAGAGGTATGTCTCCTCCAGGGAAAGTGTCACCGCCTCTAAGGAAGTCCTTTCTGCTGTTTCACCCACTGCCCTATGACTGCACTGACCTTATGATGAGGACTCAGGGAGAGAAGGGGGCTGGGAGCCAGTGGGACTTGTCATCACCTCTTCTTGCCGTAGAAGAAACCGAGGGCAGCAAGAATGATGAGCAGCATGAGCACCACAGGGGTGACAGTGAGGAGGACATGTAATCCCCCGGAGTCCTCTTCCTCTGGCATTCAGAGGACAGGGTCAGAGGGTAGGGTCAAAGATGGTGAAGTCAGAGAGTAGGGGACGCTTTTCTTTCCACATTGGGAGATGAGGATGGGGGAGAGATGGGGCCTGTGGTAGGCTGGGGACCAGGGCTGTTTGGGGATACAGGTCTGGGCAGAGTCTGTGTATACCTGGGCCAGGGATGTAGAAGGCAACACTGTCTGTCCAGGAGCCATTGCCAGCCAGTGAGGTTGCTCGAACCCTGGCAGAGTAGTTTCCAGGGGGTAGCAGGGCCAGGTGAACTCCTCCAAACTTGGCATATCGCAGACGAGACACGCACAGCACTGTGGCCTCCTGAGGGTAACACAGAACAGCTGGCTGAAAAGGGGATGGAGGCACAAAACGGGGCTGGGATGGGGCGGCGTCTCCGAGGGCACCTACCTCTCCCAAGCGGCGGTACTTTATTTCATACTTGAGGATGAGTCCGTTGGGGTCCGGTGGCTCGATCCAGCGCAGGAGGACACTGCTCTTGCTGGCTGCCTCCCAGGCCACCTTCCCTGGGATACCATCCGCCTCCCCTGCGGGAGGGTGACCCGGCAGCCGGGCCACAAGTAGTTCCTCTCATCTTCATATTCAAACCCACGCTAAACTGGGCTAAACTGGGAGGTTTGGGGGAGCGCTGGGATTATGGGAACTGGGAGGGGCAAGCAAAGCCAGGCTCTGGGGTTAGCAGGAGGTCAAACCCGCTAGTTAGAGCACTAATTGCACAGTGTCCTTGGGGTCGGTGGTGGAGACAGAAGGGGTGTGTGTGTGTGTGTGTGTTTGAGACTTACTGTGGGGCATGGTGCGTGCAAAGACGAAGGTGGCGGCGCTGCAGCCCACAGTGTGTGCCGCGTGGTTGCAAGCATGGATGTCGATCCGGTACTCTGTGAAGTGGCGCAGGCCGCTCAGCACCGCTCGCTCCCGGGGCACCTTGTCCTCCTGGATCTCAAAATCCGAGCTGTTTCCCCCCAGTCGGAGGGACCCGGCGGCCCGGCGGTGCCGCTCTGAATCCCTGGGGAGGGCATGGGTCAGAGCCCTGCCCCTGCCCCAGGAGCCACGCTCCTCAACTCCCGGCCCCAACCCCGCTCACCTTTGGGAGTTCTTGTTGATGGACGTCACCTTCCAAGGGGATCTGGGAAGGCCAGGAGCAAACCTATCGGACCCGCCCGGAATGCGCCCCTGCGCCCTCGGCAGCCGGGTCCGACCTCCAAACCCACTCCCAGCCCAGGCCCCGCCCACACAAGTGAGGCCCCGCCCACAGAGCCCCGCCCTTCCCGCACAGACCCAGCCCTCGGCGGCCCCACCCTTCACACCCGCCCCGCCCACGTGCGCTCGCTCTCACTTGGGGATGGTGATGGCGTTGTGTAGAAAGTTTTCAAACTTCTTCTGGAACGAGGCCTCTTGCGCCTCCAGCGGGGGCAGGACCTGCCCAGGAAGTGAGTGCTGGCACGGGCAGCAGCCGGGCTCCGTCTCTGTCTCAAGATCCCCGTCCTGGCGGTCGAAGCGCGGGTCGTTGTTGCTGGTGGGCAGCCGCAAGCCTGGCGCCGCGGCGGGGAGGAAAGCTGTCAGACCAGCCGTCTACCCGCCCCTCCCCGCGACCCTGGCCCGGCTCCCCGCCCCACCGGCCTGCGCCTCTTCCCTGCGCACCACGGTGGCAGTAGTCATTGAGGTAGAGGTCGCCGTCCTCTGCCAGCCGCTGCCACAGCACTAGGTAGTAGGTGTTGTTTCCATTGCGCTGGGTCGGTGGCTTCCAGCGCACCAGGAGGTGGGAGGAGGAGTTGGACGTGGAGATGACGTCTTGGGGCACCGTGGGCGCTGGGGATGTGAGAAGGGGACAACTCGAAGGCCGCGGGTCCCCTTTGCAAATACTGTCTGGTAATGAGCTCATTTCACTGGGATCAAACCCTCCCTTCTCCCGAGGAACAGGTGACCCTCAACCCCCGCCCTCTGCTAGAACTCAGCTTTCTGTTCTTCGCTCCTCCTCCAGAGGTCCTTGAGTTGGCTCAACTATTCACCCCTCACTGTCCCAACTCCAGCCTCCCTAGCACCTAGGCAAATGCCCCCTGTTCTTTCTACGGCTCAAGCATTTGGCCTTTCAGCCTCTGTGAACCAGGCGTTCAGTGCCCCAGCTTCTCTATTTCTGGATCCTGGGTTCCCCCATTCTCACTAGGAAGCAGGCATCTAACTCCGGCCCCCTCCAAATGCTTCATCCTACCAGCGGGCAGGGTTCGGAGGTAGACAATGGGGCTCTGGGCTCCTTGATGTGGGCTGTCCTCAGCAGTGGTCAGTGTGATGGCCCGCACAAATACCGCATACTGTGTCCAGGGCTTGAGGGGGGCTAGGGTCACCCCTGGCTCCTGGGTGCGGCTTAGGGGCAGCTCCACATCCAGCAGGTTCCAGCTCTGGGCTCCACAGGCATCTGGACCCACGTGCTCCGTGGCATTCTGGAATGGGCTGAACACCCCATCCCCAGATCTGAGGGGTGGCTCAGCCCCACCTCCAGTTTCTAGCACCCCCCTCCTCCCTAAATCACCCTTGGACTGTCACTGTTATTCTTCTTACAGCCATGACTCCAGCCACCTATTAGACCCTGTGGGCCCTGTGATATCTGTGTTGCCAGCCAAATTTGTGATGAAATATCTCTTCATCCTTAGCAGGGAATATTGAGCTTTAGTCTCAATGAATATTCAAAAAATCTTGCATTGTATAAATAAAAGAAGGTGGGCGTGAAAGAGTCCCCTCCCTAGGAACAGCAAGCAGTGAGTTTATCTTAATCCCCCCTCCCCCAACTGGGATTGCCTGGAACCAGAACCGGGAGACCACTCTCTACCCAAGGGCAGAGTGTCTTAACCTAGGTCCATGAATGGAGGTTTATGAGTCTCCCAAACTGTAGGCAATGTTTTGTGCATGTGTATTTTCCTGCTTTCAGCAGCTTCTCAAACATGTTCTTGATTTCAAAAGGCCAAGACCCACTGCCACAGGGAAATTAATTGGGGCCAGAGGCAACCAATGCTGCCTACCTAGAGGCAAGAGCAGGGGCAGGGCCTGGGGAGGCACCACTGGCTTTAGGATTAGAAGGGGGGCTGCTCTTTGGGGGAGATGAAAGTGGAGCCTGTATGGGAGATATCAAGGTGATCGTGAAGTGACAATGGGGCATTGCACTGATGTTCATATTTGTTTCTTTGGAGAGGGGCAGAAGGGTGGAATTCATGCTGAGCTGGGGACAGAACTTGGGAGGTCAAAGGGGGTGGTAGTAGGGGACTTGAGGCTGGCTGGAAGTGCCTGCCCTTGTTGGGACCCAGAAATAGATAGTTTAGGAGCAGGTGGAGGTGGGGAGAGGGGGGTTGCAGAGTGGGTCCCATAGGGGCAGGTGTCTTGTGGTCTGCTTAAGCAGTATCAGAATATGTCTGGGTCTGCTTAGAGCCCAAATTGAGCCAGGATCCACAGTATGTCCCTGTGGGAGCACAGCCGCAGCCACACTGCAAGTTGGTGATGTTAGGGGAGCTTCTCTGTGCTTTGAGCACAGAGGTGGCTGTGTACAGTTGTGCAGATTGTGGATTTCACGAGCCAAAGTGTGCCATTCACATTGTAGTCCACATCAGTGTTCCTTAGAGTGTGGTCCATGAATCAACAGCTTCAGCATCACCTGGGAGCTTGTTAGCAATGCAGACTCATGGGCCCTACTCAGGACTAACTGAATCAGAATCTGTGAGGGTGAGGCCCAGGGATCTGTATTTAACAAATTCTCCACCTCCCCATACTAGAGACCTTCGCTTGCCACTGAGGCCTAGGAGAACCTTGGCCATCTGAGTAGGCCTCCCACCACTGACTTTCTTCCTCCCTCCTCTCAGGCCAGGCCCTGAGCTAGTGGTCAACGGAGACTTCTCAATTTAAATTCACAAGTGCTATCGAGCCGGGTGGCCCCCATCTTCTACCTCCTATAGAGAGAATACTCACTCCTGCCCTCCCAGCCTGCCATCCAAAATCCAGTTCTCTCCTCTGAAGATATCTCATTTTGATTCTTAGCTATATTTTTGGAGAAGTCCTTCCTGTGGTCTAACCACTATCCCTCTTGGTAGGGTCAGTCCACTCTCTCCAAAGAAAGAGCAGTCGGTCTCTCGCGATCTCTTTCTCCCTCCCTTCCTTAGGCTTTAATGAAATGCTGGCCGAGCTGCTCATAAAACTGGCCAAATTAATGGGCACTCCCCAAACCGCTGCTGGGGCAGGAACATGTGGTCAGTATAGAACATTAGCATAGTGAGTTGAAGTTTAATTATCCGAGCTTTCCCAGCAGGTCGGCTCTCTTGGGCTCTCAGAACCCCTGACTGTCCTCTCCATTTCACTTGGTGAGGGAAACTGAGGCACGGAGGGATGAAGAAGGTGGGGGGGGAAGAGCCAGACATGGGTCCTACAACGGAGTGTGACTTGGAGGTCCTATCTTCCTAGCTCTCCATAGCCCCCCTGGGTTTTGCCCTCTCCTGCCCGCTGTTGTGAAGAAATTGGCCTGGTCCGGTTCTGGCCCCGTCCCCCGATCTGGCCCCGTCCCCCGATCTGGCCCCGCCCCCGGTACTCACGACTCCTTGTAGTACACGATGAAGCTGAGCAGGTCGCGGGCCTCCAGCGGCTCGTAGCGCTCCCAGCGCAGCAGGATGCGGTCTGCCTCCGTCACGTTGGACACGAAGCGCAGGGTGCGGGTCTGGCCTGGGCGGGGCGAGGGGCGAACACCTGCTCCCAACCGCATCTATCACCTGCTCGAGCCCCGACTCTGGCCGCATGGCGTCCCATCTCCAATGTGACCTCTGAAGAGAACTTAGACGGTCCCCTTCAAGCGCCGCCTCCCACCCGCATGCGTGTGTCTGGTGTGTTTCAGTGCGTGTGAATGCCTGCGCGTGTGAGCGTCTGGGTGTCCCTGTGCATATCTCTGGGTGCATATCGGGGTCGTGTCTGATTGCAAGTGTGCTCGCTCTGGGGTTGGGGTCTCGGGCCTCACAGGCGGCGCGGTCTCCGTTGGTGCGGGGGTTGATCTCAGCCTTGTTTTGTCGGCCTCGCGTGCCGGTCACCTCCTCCAATCGGTAGATGTGCTCCAAGCAGAGGCGCGGGTTGAAGGCGAAGTAGATCTTGCCCACAGGAATGGTGAGCCCCGTGGCCACCCAGGACCCCAGCTGCTCTAAGTTCTGGTTGTCCAGCACGTACAGAGTGTAGTTCCTGGGGGAGACCAGAGGACCTTGCTCTGTGGGAAGGTGGGGGCAAGGCGTGGGAAAGGGGGTGGTTTATGGGCTCCTCCTGGAGGGGCTGTGCTGGGCAGAGGGAGGAGAGGCTCTCAGCAGCCCACTCACACCCAGGATGGGTGGGGGTGGAGTACATTTGTACACACCCACTGTACTGCTGACCAGGAGTGTGATGTCCAGCAAGTCACCCACCTTCTCTGTTTGTTTTCCTCATCAGTGTAGTGGGGTCAACAGCTTCCCTGCCTCCTTCCTTCCCTCATCTCACGTTAACTGAGCACCTACTATGTGCCAGACTCTGTGCTGGCTTTGTGGGACACAAGGAGGAGTCGTACTCAGCCTGGGGCTATGCCTCTGTAGGGGGTGTGGGCACCCCAAGTGGTACATGACAATGTGCCAGAAAACATGAGAAGTGACAGGAAACCACTTGACTGGATGGTTATTTAAAACATTCTTTTGATTTTGAAAAATCCTGGCTGCATTATGGGTAGCTTTGACTGGTAGGTGATAGGAATGAGTTTCAAATCCAGGCAGTCTTGCTCTGCAGCTGAGAGGATCAGATGATAATAATTATAGCCAACCCTTATAGAGTTATATGTAACTATAATTTATATTGTATGTACTGTGTTCCAGGCATTGTTTTAAGTGCTTCACACATAACAACTTAAGTAATACTCACAATAACCCTAAGAAGTAAGTAGTGTTATATTAGCCCCATTTTACAGATGAGAAAACTGGGGACCAGAGAAGTTAAGTAATCTACCCAGAATCACACAGCCAGTAAGTATAGGGCTGGTTCCAGACCTCATTCTCTTCACCACTGTTCTGGGAGTGCTGGGGAAGGAGGTGTGATAGAAGGAGCTGGTCAGAGGCCTGATTCTGACCCCTTACCCATCCACCATGTGGTCCCCACGGATTAGTTTGAGGTTCTCGAAAAAGCTCAGCGACACGAGGGCAAAGGAGTGCTTGATTTTGAGGAAGCCAGTGATGGTCTCTACCAGCCCCAGGCTGCGCTGCAGCTCTGGCTCCAGATTGTCTGAGGAAGGGTAAGACAGGGCTGGAGCAGGAGCAGGGAAGGTGATGGGCCCTCAGGGCTGGGACCCAGGATGATGGAAAGTGGTGCTTAGCCAGGTCATGGTAAGGGATGTGGCTGGGAGGAAGGGTGTGGCCAGGAGGAGGGGTGTGCCCCAAAGTAGGTACTGACAGCCCTGGCGAAGGTTGAGGATGAGGCTCCCCTCCACGTGGGTGCAGCCCACCAGATCCTGTGCCGTCTGGATGGAGTCGATGGTCTTGGTGCCTACCTTGCACTCTTTGGGGCACAGCCCCTCGCACTTGTGGCAGAATATGCTAGTAGGGGCAAGCAGATGGCATGAGCCTTGGACCAATAAGGGCCTCCTCAGGCCTCCTCACTGCTCCAAGGGTGCACCCCACCCGCCCTACACTCACCTGCTGCCATTACGGGTGAAGCCTGGAGGGCACTGGGCTAGGCAACTGCCCTGGTGGATGCCGAAGGTGGAGGCACGGCTGGGCACAGAGCGCAGGCTGGCACAGCACTCAGCTGTGACGCAGCGCCAGGACTCGTACTGGTAGGTGCCTGGAGGGCAAGCTCGGTGGCAGGCACCCTGGAAGTAGAGATGGCGGCAGGCTACACAGGCTCGGGGGTCTTCCGGCCGGCTGCAGCCCCCCAGGCATTCAGCGTGGCAGCACTCGCCGCCTGCTGTGCAGGCCAGTCCATGGGGGCAGGGACACACTGTGGGCAGAGTGCTATGTTAGACCTTACCTGTGTCCCCTGAGTCCTGGCCCCCTTTTCATCCTGGCCCCACCCCATTCCTCCTGGATTACACTCTTGATCTACACCCAAATCCTATGACATTGGTTGCTGACTCCATTTGCCTCAGATGGAGGCTCTTGAGGACATGGACTGTGGCCCCTATTGGTGGCTCCCCATCTCCCACAGTGCCTAGTTGGGGGTGCCAGAACTCAGGACAGAAAAATAGCATTGTCTAGCAGGGCTGCTGCTGTCCAGCCTGCTGTCCTGTCTAGGCCTGGTGCCCAGATCATCACTGGGCACAGTGCCAGAATGAACCAGCCAGCCTCTCCTGAGCAGCTAGGCCCAGGGCAAGGTAGACCTGGGAGTGTGTGGAAGGAGGGACCACCATTTGTCCTGCTGCGGCGCATACTGCCTCCCTCTTCAGCTCCCTTCCCTGGGCAGGAGGTGGCCCCAAGCAGCCACGGGAGGGTTTAGGGCAGAGAGCCCAATATCCTGGAAACTGCACACTGGCAGGTGGCTGTCTGTAGCAGCAATGTGTGGGGTAGGGGTCAGCTTGGGTGTGTTGACACTATACACGAAGACGTGCAACAGCTGTGTTTACAGCCAACAGGGAGGCAGCAGGGAGGTGGGGCCCAGCAGATACAGCAGGGGTCTAGCTACTCTCCTGCCCTGATGCTGAGGCATTGGTGTGAGAGGAGCTGACCTCCTGGAGCTGTGTGGAAAAGACCCCCAGGCTGCTCTCAACCTCTGAAAGGTCTTCCTTCCTTCCCCTGTAAGTTTCACTTCCTCCTACTCCAGCTATCCTCTCCTTTCTCCCCTCTCCCTCTCTTCACTGCTTGCCTTCTGTTTCCTGTCCATGCAGCTTCCTAAAGAAGATCCCACCTCACATATTTGCCCTCACCTGTCCTTTTCTCCATCGATCACCTTCTCCTTTCTTCTCCCACGCAGCGCCCAACCTCCCCATTACGATGCTGCCTGCTGACCCTGGATCACCTGTGCTCTGGCCACTTTTACTAGGAACATAGAGCTGCTACCGTGGCCCAGGCACTGCTCTAATGCTTTGTAGAATACCTCATTCCTCATAACAACCCTATGATCATTTACAGGTGAGGAGACTGAGGCATGGATAGACTAAATGAACACAGTGAGGAATTAGCAGAGCTGAGACTTTGACCTAGGCCATCTGGCTCTGTACTTAGCCACTGCCTCACTGCTTCTTGTGCTGCCTCGTGTCCATTTGTGCCTACCCTCTTTCCCCCATACCCCCTGTATCTGTCCTTTACCTATTCCATGACCGCCTGATGCTGTCTGTGCCTACCCCTTGACTGCCTTATGCCGCATCAGTTATTTAACTTTTCTGAGCCTCAGTTTCCCTATCCACAAAATGGGAATAACAGTACGGTAGTACCTGCCTCATAGGATGAGTGAGGATTAAAAAACAGTGGCAGCAAAGTACTGACCCACACCACCCTGTGGCCTCCCAGCCCCCTCTGTCCCCTAGTCATGTTCTGGGCCAGTGCCCACCTCTCTGGCAGTGGCTGGAGGTCCAGCACCTGTAGTCAGTGTGCCCGCTGAATGTGGTCCTGGCACAGGGCTTGCCAGCAGCACCCAGCACACCAGGACATACATCAGCACACTCCTCGCCCAGCTTGTTGCCCACGATGTGGTTGGCACCAGGTGCAGGCTGCAGCAGGCCCCAGTCAATGGTGGAGAGGTGGCAGAGCTCCTGGTTCTTCTCCACACGCACGGCCCCACGCAGCACGGCCCCCAGTGCTGGCAGCCCCACGTCACGCAGGTGTGGCATCTCAAAGATGACCAGTGCATAGCCCAGGAAGAGGTGGGCACCGCGGATGACCGCTAGGTTAGGGAAGAGGTCACGCAGGCTCTCCAGGCCATAGACACGGAAGAGAAGCAGGTAGTCGGTGACCTGGGTGAGGCGTGGGAAACTGAGGCCGTGGAAGTCCTCCCCTGTGGCCGTGAACATGAGCAAGATCTGAAGGTGGCCCTCTACCACACTGCAGTTCTCCAGCCGACGCAGCTCTGCCACCTCTGAGCGGATGTCCAGGCTGGAGCACACTGTGGGCACACGTGGCACACAGCAGTAAGTACAGCCCAGGCCACATACCCCATCCTGCCCTGACAGCTTTGGAGGAGGGGAGCCACACTGGCAGTAGGACACAGAGTGGGGAGTGGGATCTGCTCTGTGGGGTGGCCTCCTTCCTGGGCCTCAGAGTGCTCACCTGCAGCTTGCAGGATCTCTACCAGATGAGCCACCATGGGGAAATGTGAGCACCCGATCTCCCCTCCCAAGCCCATTTCCCCTTCTCTGTTGATAGCAACTTCATTCTTGCAGTGAGTCTCCAAACATGAAATCATCCTTGATTCCTTTCTTTCTCTCACCTTCTACATCCTGTGGGCTCTGTCTTTAAAATATATCTGGAGTCTGACCTCTTGCCATCACCTTCACTGCTTCCACTATCATCTTCCCCTGGATTTACAGTAATAGCCTCCTAAATTGTCTCCCCACACCCACCCTTGTCCCCTCTGTGGTCTGTTCTCCACTCTGAAGCCAGAGTGATCTTCTCAAAACAGTTGGATCACGTTCCTGCTCTGCTCGAACCCCCTCCCTCCCCCAGTGACTTCCATCTCACTCAATCTAAAAGCCAAAACCCTTACCACGGCCTGTAAGGCCTTGTGAAGCCTGACACGATTTGGGCCCCCAATCTGATGTCATCCCTTTTCTCTCTTTTCTTCAGCTACATTGACCTCTCTACTATCCCTAAAACAAGCCAGCCGAGCTCCTGCCTCAGGGTCTTTGTGCTTTCTGTTCCCTCTGGCTGGAACACTTTTCCCTCTACATGTCTCCCTCACCTGCTTAAGTCTTTGCTCAAATGTCACCTTCTCAATGAGGCCTTCTCTGACGATCCTATTTAAAATTGTGACACTCCCTACCTGCTCTTCCTTCTTTATTTTTCTCTATAATTCTTAATATTGGCTAATATATAATTAACTTATTTATTTTGTTTATTGTAAGCTCTATCAGGGCAAGGATCTTTGTATAGTTCAGTGCTATATCCTAGTGCTTGGTATAGTACCTGGCACAAAATTGGCAATAAATTTTTGATGAATGAATGAATGAGTGCATTCTGTGATTGGTAAGCAGTGGTTCAAGCTTCATATACCCATTTCTGTCCCAGTTCTAAGGGAGCTAAATGCCTGATACCTGCATTTGCTTACTCTTAAAAGGACATTCCATGTCTCCCCATTGCCAAAGATTCAAGTTTCAGTTTCTCAGCCTGACATTCCAGGGTGTAGATAAACTGGTCCCCATTCATCTCCATCCTCAGAAGGGTCCCTCCACCCTTGTCCTGCAAACTCAGGTTAAGCCTCACTTCCCTGACCATCTGAACCTGAGTTAATCACTTCCCCTTCAGGTTCGACTGCACTTAGTCCAGCACCCATATCCAATACCTGGGGCATTGTCCCAACATTGTAGTCTACAGCTCTGTCACCCCCTCCATGGAGGGTGGACCTCTTGTTAGCCAGCTCTCCATCCCCCCATGGTGCCCAGTCCTGGTCTGGAATCACTGGGCACTTAGGGACTATAGACAATGGACATCTGGATCTGAAGTCCACTCCTCCCTTGGGGACCCTGGTATGTTTGGCTTCTTCAAACCCAGGGCCCCAGCCCCATTTTCCTTTCTTTCCCAAGACACTTAGGACAATTCCCCTAAGGTGGCTGGATGCCTGGACTCACTAGCTTCCAAGGGGACCTTCCATGGCTCTTTGCAGATGATCTAAGTCTGAATTCTTCAGCCTGATATTCAGGTCCTACTAGCTTCTTCTGCCTTACTCCTTCCCTTCCTTTCTAGTCCTCTAGCAACATCACATACATACTACACACCACACTCTCCAGGCAGGCAAGGCTGGCTCCCTGGGGCTTACTTCACACCTTCTCCCAGTTGTCATTAATGGTCCTGAGCTTGCCTCTACCCAGCAGTTGTGTGTGTGTGTGTGTGTGTGTGTGAGAGTGTGTGTGTGAGTGTTTGTGTGTGTGTGTGTGTGTGTCTGTCTGTCTGTCTCAGTCTGTGCAGATACACACACACAAAAGAGAGGGAGAGAGAATGAGAAAACACTTCTCTATCCGCTCCTGGCAAAGGCCAATCAGGCTCTGCTAGGCAGATAGGGGGTTCTCTCAGGCGCCCACTTCCCATCATGCCCCTGCCTCTCCAGGGCTCCCCTGATGAGAGTCATTTGGAAAAACAAATCTAAGACCTTCACAGATTAACCCCTGCCTTCCCTCAGGGCATGGTTCTGTGCAGAGCTGCACTGGGAACTGGACATCTGGGTCCCCTGACCAAACACCAGTCCTTCCCAGAGACGTGCTCCTGTCCTGACAACCATACTCCTGGCTAGCATCTGCTGTGCCCTGTCCTGGCACAGCAGTGGAGGAGGAGACGAGGGTGTTCAGTGTTGGGGGAAGGGGGTGCCCTATGTCTTGCTGGTAGAACCTCTGTAACTAGTACTCTTCAGGGGACCCCCTCCCCCAATCCATTTGCATCAGTCCTCTGTCTCTGTAGGAAGGAGAGACTCTGCCCTGCTCCTGTAAGCCCCCCAGTCTGAGGGACGTCATGGGATCCCTCAAACAGGCACAGAGGACTGGATTCCTGAGCTCTCTCAGTCTGGAGGGGAATGGTAGAATTAGAGAAGGGGACACCTCTTAATCTTTCCCCTTTTGAGTTTTCCACCCTCAGCTCTTTTTCCTTTCTCCACCAAGCCCCCAGCACCCTGATGAGGGAGGGCCATTTAGTCTAAGTGGTCCCACCCTCCACTCTCCAAACCCTGCTCACAGGAAGGGTCTAGCCTGGGGGATAGGCCCCGAGGCACTGAGGAAAAGCAGTCCTTCCCCCAAACCAGCCCTCCTCCCCCTCAGTGAATGGGACCTAAGGGTGGAGGATGTGGGTCAGGGCCCTGGAGGCAGGAGCTCAGGTCCCTGTCTAGCTTCACCCCTCAATTCTCTGAGCCTCAGTTTCCTGTCTGCACAATAGCTTCACTTAGTGGTGCCTGGTTCTCAGCTACTCGCCCCTGCCCTGCCGCTCCCCATTCGGTGGCCCTAGGAGTGACCGCTAACACTCTTACGGCCTCAGTTTGGTTCTCCTCCAGGCTTTTCTGCTATCATGGTTTCACAAGCAGGAGTAGAGGATATCTATTCATCCCCCTGTTTTGAAGTCTTTCTCACCTCCTAGGGAGCTGAGAGAAAAACACCTTTGTGTGGGGAACTAACTGCTCTTCCTGATGGGAAGTCCTGCGAGCTAACCCCAGCCTTCACGTTGCAGTGCAGAGTAAGTAGATGTGTTCTGGCTGGAAGCTTAGTTGTTTGGCCTCTCAGCTGGCCAGGAGGGAGACGGGTTGGGGAGACAGTGCTGGGGACTCACCCTCTAGTGTGTCCAGGCCAAATCCCAGGGAGAGGAAGATCACAAGCAGGCATGCTCCCCAGGGCCACAGACTGGGCACTGCCATTGTTCCAGTCCTGGCTCTCCTCCAGGTGGCTCCGGGGAGGAGAGGGTCTGACACCTTAAGTGACACAGAGATCCAGGCTTTAGAGAGGAGGGGGGAGGAGGACAAGGGCAGAGAGACAAGGAAGCACACACAGAGATGGCAGGAGACAGAAAAGAAATGAGAGTCACAGAGATACAAAGACAATGACAGGCAGGTGGAGACGGAGACTTAGATTGGAGACAGAGAGATGGGGACAGAGATGCAGACAGTGAGTGGGAGAGCCTCAAGAGGTCTCCAGTGGGAGAAAGTGACACAGGGTTCAGAGCAAAAGGCAGGCCAAGAGGTTGGCCAACGCTGAGGGTAGAGCAGAAGCCCAGGAGCGCTCCTGAGGAGGCCAGCGGGGTCCCGGGGCGCGCATATCCGACAGAGGAGTCTGCCCGGATCACTCGATCCCTCCAGCGTGTTGGCTCCCAAGCGCCAGCTGGCCGAGCAGCAGTATCTCCCGGGGCGAACACACAGGGGCAGCGTCCAACTCCCGCCCACCCCGCCCTCAGTCGAAACCGATTGGTTTGAGGGGACCTCTCAGTTTTCTCCGCCCCTCCCGCCAAGCCAAAATATTTAGCCTGACAACTGAGGGGGACCAGGACTGTTGGGGAAATAAGGCCAAAACACGAACAGGGGTGAGGAGGCCAAGAACGGAGCTCCCCCCACCCCGCTGCAGCTGCGGTGGGTTTTCTCTGCCCCGCTCCCCGCGCTGCACACTTCCAAGTGGGGCCGTACCACCGGAGGGGCAGCCAGCGCCCGGGTCCCCTGGAGAGCGGTCTTTCTATTCGGCCACCTGGTGCCTTGACACCTGTGGGGTAACTTCCAGCAGCCTCGACCAGGCAGAGCGAGCTTGTTGAAACCTGGTGGAAACATGGACAGTGTCTTCTAAATAGTCAAGGCCTTAGCCTCTAGCGAGCCCCTCTCAGCCTTCCAGGGACCCCTTAGCGCAAAGTCTGGTCCCTGCCAAGACTCGTGGTTTTGGCCAAGATCCAACTGAGGGCGATCACCCTTGTCGGATTCCGCCTCTGTCCAGTCATCTGCCTGAACTCAGGCCGCTCGGTCGGTTTCTCTGTGCGTCATTGTCTGGGGGACTTGGGGGCCCATCCATGTTGGGGCCCTGGTGGAGAGGTGAACAGCGCGCCTCTAGGAGGATTTCCTTCACCTGCTCCCTGAGGCCCTTTTCTGCCGCCTCCGAAGAGTCATCCTCCAGGGCTCCTCTTCCCTCTCTCTCTCCTTGGTTTGAGACTGACGGGCTCTTGCAGCCACAAAAGCCGGCGGGGTGGGAGGGGCCAGGACCTGCCCTCTGGTGCCCTGGGTGTTGGGGATCCCGGGGCTTTCCAGTTGCGCAGCCTCCAAGCGCCTACCGGTCCCCAGCTCCACCCGTGGGCGGCTCCCACGTCCGAGGAGCTGGGAGAAGAACTATTAATTTCTCCGCGCAGAAATCGATGCTCTTGTCAGAGCGGCGATCAATGCCAGCCCTGCCCGGGGGCCAGAGCTGGCTGGCCAGGGTCAGGAACTGACGCTGGGACCCGAGGCACCTCGCAGACCGCGCCCGCACCCACCTAACTCTGGCCGGGAGTTCACACCTTTGGGCGCGGGCTTCTAGCGCCACCCTGTGGCCTCTCCTGTGGCGGGGTCTTGGCTCCCCGGACTCTCTTCGGCTGTTTTTAGGCGACGCCTTCCCTTTCTCTGCCCCTTCTGTGTTTTCCTCCGCAGGTTCTGCGTTTGGTCCTTTTGGGCTCCTCTTTCTCTTCCCCCTAGGGTTCAGAGAGTGTTTCCCCTAATACCCCAGGTGACACGCACACTCCCTCAGGCACGCGCACCGTGAGGGGGAAGATCTGAGCCTGGGGGCTGGCTAGTTAGACCTGGACGGCGACCTTTCCCAGGTCCAGTATCTCCCCTTCCCACCAGATGTAAAAGTGCAGCTGCTTTAGACTGGGAGAAACAACGCATCAACGTCCCAGTTCCCCCACCCGGAGCAGACACCTCTGAGGCGTTCTGCGGCGACCTCTCCGTGTCTCCCGGAGCTAGAGGGATCCTGAGGGAGAAGCTGGCGCTGGGGGCCCCCGAAAGGGGAGGGGGCAGAGTTGGGGGCTTCGGAGAGGAGGGGGCTGGGCTGAAGCCGGAGGGGCGGGGCGGGGCCGGGCGGGGGCCACTGGCTCCGCCCTTTCCTGGCCACTGGGTCTTTAACACCGCCCAACGCACATGTCGGGGGAGGCCCGGCAGCGGCAGCTGGGAGCGCACAGAAGGCGGCCCGGCCCGAGTGAGGCGGGAGCCGCTGCGATGCTGCGAGGCGGACAGCGCGGGCACCTCGGCGGGCGCCTCCGGGCTACGGGGCCGGGCAGCCTGCTGGCCTGGCTGATGCTGGCATCTGCGGGCGCCTCACCCTGCCCCGATGCCTGCTGTCCCCACGGCCCCTCGGGGCTGCGCTGCACCAGGGCTGTGGCCCTAGATAGCCTCCGCCACCTGCCAGGCGCCGAGAACCTGACCGAGCTGTGAGTGTCGGGCGAGCGAGGGGCGCGGGGACAGGCGGGCATAGCCGTGCCCCGAGGGCGCGGACTCTCTGCCTGCTTGCTGGGTTAGGTGGGGAGGGCGCGGCGGAAGGTTGGCACCACGCAGCCTTCGGCGGTGCCCCGGCGTTTCTCCGCTGCCGCAGCTGCCCCAGCAAGCCCCGCGGCCACTGCCTCAATGTCGCCTAGGGCTGGGGCGCCGGCTTCGGGGACAGCTAGGGGGATCTCCGTGGTCCAGGTCTGAGAGAGCCGATCCGTCTAGAAGCCGCATCCTGGAGCTCAGCTGGAAGCTCGAGCTCTGTCCCATGGAGGCGAGTGATTAGCTGTGCAGAACCCCTGTTTGGCACCCTCATCACCTTTTCCTTTTTCTAGGGGGAAATCAGTCCCCACCCCCTTCTTTGTCATGACCAGACAACCCCAGCTTTTCCCCTGGAATTGGGAATGGAGCTGAAATTGGTGGGAGGTGGTGGGGAGTCATAGCTTGGGAGTTGAGCCTTTCCCCATTTTCACCATCCCCTGCCCCCAGAACCCCTTGATTTGGATGTGGGAAATGGGAGCCCCTCCTGGCTCCTCTCCCTCCTCATTCCCATCTCTGTTTCCATCTTTGACTCCCTACTTGGGTCAGGGAGTCAGGTCTCTTGCTGAGAGACCCTCCTCCCTTTGGGGTCCCAAACTGGGAGGAATCTCCAGCATTCTGCAGTATTCTGACATCCTGCAGTAATTGGTTACAGAATACTCAAGTACTTTTAGCAGCTGGTGAAACCTATGGGAGTATGCTGTAATAATTGGCCTAGAGGTACTCAAGCATCACATGGTGATGGCTGGAAAATACTTGCATATTCTGTGTGGCTGGCGGGGCCAGCAAGACTTCCAGAAGACGGGGAACTGGTAGAAAATCCTCCTCCTATGGCCTTGGGCTCAGAGGGTGGACAGGAACCCTGGCCTTGCCCTGAAGTGATGGGCTGGAAGGTGTCTGAGGTGGGGGCTGTCACTGTCTGGAATTTACTTGAGCAGCCTGCAATAATTGGCACTGAGTTACTCGGGTATCTCATGGTAATTAACGGGAAGGTATTCAATCTCTTTCTCTAATGGCTCTAGGGAGACCAGGAGGAGAGGAGATGGCCTTGTCTTAGTCTGTGCCTAGGTCTCTGCATGAAGGGTAGGGGCATGAGATCCAGGCTGCTAGTCCCAGTCCAGTCCTCTCATCACTCAGGGCCTCAAACCAGGGTCCAGGCTCCAGAGTGCTCCCCATCAGTGCTCTCATTTCCCAATTCCCTTTGAAGCCCCAAGTGGGTCCAGCCTGGGGCGGGGGTGGGTAGGGGGAGTGGACAGGCCAGGGCCGGGGACTAGGAGACATGCAGGGTGGTGAGCTGAGATGTCCCTCTGGATGGGGCTGCAGCCTGAACCCCCCCTTCCCCCACCTCCTTCTGCACAGTCCCCTCCCTCCTCCCTCACCCACAGAGCTAACGAGGAGATAATGGACTCGAACAGACAGATTGATTATGAATCCAAACGAATAAGGCGGCTTTGAGGCAGCTTTGAGCACACTGCCTGACAGCTCGCGTACACCCTGCTGGTCACTGCATTCTCACCCCTCCCTGGGTCCCTGCAGCTTGAAACCCTCTGGGCAGGAGCTGGGGCGTGGGCAGGACAGGGACCTGCGCTCCCTCAGAGTCACTGGAGGTTACTTCCTAGTAATATTAGGGAACTTAGGACCTGATACCTGGCTGTCATACTTGGGCCAAGGCTGGAAAGGCAGAGGGGGAGGGGTCACTTGGGCTGGTCCTGGTTCCCACCAGTTTGGGAAAGTTGGAGGTAAAGGGGGAGGCTACTGAGAACTAGCAGTGAGTCAGGGGCCTCTGGCATGTGTGGGCACAATGATGTGCCACTGCAGGGCAGCTGAGTTCTGAGGAACTCCCTGGCATGCCAGGTCCAGAAGCTAGGCATGCCCAGGGTGTCAGCTGTCCCCCATCTCCCAATGCCTGGATGTTCTTCTTTCTTGTCTCTCTATCTTGCTTTCTCTGGCTCTCTGTCCTTATCTATTTGTCTCTCTGTCTCCCTTTCCTTATCTGTCTTTCTCCTTGCCTGTCTCTCTCTCTCTCTCTCTCTGCCAGTCTCTTCCTGTCAGTTTCTTTTTCTCCGTGTTTCTGTTTCACTCTTTTTTCTGCCCTTCTGCCCCCGCCTTGCCCCGACATTGAGCCTTTCTATCTCTCTCTCATGGTGTAAGTCAGCCAGTCCCTACCTCTTCTCCCTACCCCACACAATCTGGATCCATCCTCTCATTGTCCCTCTCCTCCTTCCTGGGTCTCTTCTGGGGTACAGAGGGGATCAGGGGTGTCTCTGACTAATAGCCTCTATTCCTCTTGCTTGCTCTGCTGAAAGGCTGGGGGTGGGGAGGATAGGGGTTGTTGCTTGAGTGTGGGGAGGGGGCAGAGAGGGTGGTGTGTGTGTGTGTGTAGCAGTATGGGTAAGTCCAGACAGTGGCCCTTGAGCAGGCATGTTTGGGAACACACACTTGCATGACCACAGGCTTTCTCTGTGCTGGGTGGGGCAGTGGCAGTGATGAGCCTGCGCCCTTTGTGGAAGCAAGTGCTTCAGCATGACCCCCCGTTGTTGAGCATGTGCAGGGGAGACCTGGTATAAACACAGAATAGCAGGCTGAGAATGGACTTGTGTGCTTATGAATATGAATACGCACACACATTCTCATTCATGTGTGTGTGTGTGTGTGCCTGAGGGATGTATGTGAGCT